AATAACAAAGGGTAATGCAATTTCGTGTACTAACACGCTTATTTGCTGAATGTAGTTTCATGTCAGCCCATGTTTTTAAAGAACGCACAAGACTTTGCTGTGCGCTCTAGCACGACATCTTACTCTCATCCAAAGAGCGCTAGCATACCCACACGCACCTAACCATAGGCGATATCTCTCTCACCTAGGTATCCTTAAACCCTCATCTGAACATGAATTTTCTCAAGGAACAAACGCAAGGAACAATAACACTTGATGTACACGTCAGGAGCGCATAACAAAACCTGCATAATTTTAATGCTAAATATCCGGTACCGAACGATTCCAAAACATGAGCATTTTGAAAATCGCATTTCCTTTTTAGCGGGCGAACCACACTTCCTTTACGATTTTTGTTTTCTCAAAGAAAAACTAATTTCGAAGCAGTCGGTTGACCGACGCAGGTCACTGCTTCCGCATAACGCTTAACAATTCAACTCGAAGTTTTGACAAAGCTTATACGCAAACCAAATCTAGAGGGAAGAAAAAAGTGTCGAAGCAAACTAGCTGTGAAGATGACACAGGTACACCACTTTAAAACCAAATATAACCAAACAAGTATGATTCCAAAAAAAAAACTCCTGTGTCCGACTCTCCCGCCTACAGCTGTCGCTCCCCTTTCAGCCGTACATGCGGCGGTCGTGGTCTACGACTCTGAAAACGCGCGAGACAACAACGTGCACGAGCAACAAGCCGAACTGCAGCGTTACGCCTCATTCGCGATTTTTGCGGGCTTCTGTCAGTTCGGCGTAGGTGACCGGAGCGATGCGTGGGACAGAGTGGCCATGCGTTCTTTTGGCTAGCTCGCGTGTGGTATTTAGCTATTGTGGCTTTTCCTTTTCCTCTAGGACCCCTTCTAGCAATCCTGTTCCCGCAAAGCTTTAAATCTCCTGCGTACATTCCGTCGCGAGAATGCGCGCTGGGGCCTACCCTTTTGCCGCTGGCGCCTTATTTCCCGCCACAAAGGCCTCTTCGCTGAACTGGCCGATGAGCTACCCTCTTTTCTTTCTCCCCGATGCTTGCTTCCTCCTTCTTGCCTTCGCTCTGTCGCGCGCGTACCTTTCACTCCTCTACGGCGACGTCTACGACCGACTTTTTCTGCACCGTTAGGAAATTGGCCTCGGGTTGCGTCATCGGTAGTTTTACAGCTCAAGGGTGCTTCTGCACCACCTGCCACAGTGTTTCGGCACTTTGATTTCTTGGCTCTGTCGCCTTGTCTGGCCGATTCACCTGTGCTAACGCTGTACTCAGGTGCGCCCTGAAACATTCTGTGGATAGAACGGAAAGACCGGCGCTCTCCACGCAATTCCATTCGCGAACCCGCTTTCCTCTTACTTTTCGTCCGGTTGCTCGGACGCATGCAATGTAATTTTGACGCTGCTGCAAAGCTCTTATTTGCTACGCTGACAGGTTTTGCGCCTTCTTTTACACGCGTAGTACTGTTCGTCTTTCTCGCGGATTTGCGACGTCTTTCGTCTGCGCCGCTTTTTGCGTGTCGTTTCTGAGCCTCCCGATCGCATCTCACACTCGTGAACCCTCTCACAGCTTTCGTCAGCTGTCTCAGTCGCGCGGTCTAAATGATTTTCGACCTGGTCATCTTTATTCTCACCCTCTAGACCGGCGGACTGGTTAACACACTTAGGAACAATGCAGCTGTTTCCCTTCGAAAAATCTTGCTCGCATTCCTGAGAGCGGTCTGGAAATGCACTGATACCATTCTCTACGTTCGCTGCTTCTGAGCTTTCTCCGGTGTTCTTGCCTACTTCGACCCCATTTGCAAGATCCACCGTCGCGACAAACACAGTTGAGGTCTGTGCCAGATTGTCTACAGCTATTCTAGCTGTTTCGCTAACAGTTAACTGGCAAAGCTCCTCGTCGCACTCGCTCTGGCCTTCGTCGGCCTCTCTACTCAGCGCAGCCTCATTCGCAGCACTCAAACTCGATTCGCCTTTGAATCCGCTGCTATGTTCACACGTGCTAGCCTTCTCTAAAGCTCTGGGCTGCACCTCGCACTTCTCGTGCTCTACACTTGCAGATGGCTGAATCTTCCTCCGCGTTGCCTCGACTTTTTGTTCTGACAGTTCAATCTCTAGGCTGAGTGCTCGCTCACGCTCTTCACCTCGCTCCCGTTTTTCTATCTCCCATTTGCGCTCACTATTCACCTTGGTGCTATGAGAGACACGCGGACCTCTGTCAGGCTTGGTTTTAATACCAGCACACCGTCTCGCGTTCTTCAACGGAGCGTTCGTGAGCTTGTACTCCATTTCCTTTCTGTCAGCTCTGATGCCGAAGCACCAGCAGTAAGGCTGCCTTAGTTACATTGTAATCATTAAACTCCTCCTCGGAAAGGTACCCTATTCTACCCATTAAGTCGCACGGAAGGACACTCAATAAGGTGATAGACCAATAGTCTTCGTCGAGCCCTAGGTCTGTGCAAACATTCTCGTAAGAGGTTAGGTGACTCTCTATATCCTCGCCCTCTTCGAACGCATGGATCCTGGAATTTACTTGATACCATCTAAGGCACTGTATTGATCTTCTGGTCTCTTCTTGTTTTACTTTAAGGCTTTCCTTCCACTGCTCTCTCTCTTGCTCTCGCCTTTCCTGATGCTCCTGTTCCAGTTTTACTTTAAGGCTTTCCTTCCACTGCTCTCTCTCTTGCTCTCGCCTTTCCTGACGCTCCTGTTCCTCACGCCTTTCCTGACGCTCCTGTTCCTGTTGCTTTTGAATCTCGTTCCACGTTTCTTTAATATCTTCACTGGTCAGATTCAAGCCCTCGATAGCGCCAACAATTGCGTGTTTCTTCATCCTCGCATCTACTTCTGCTCCCAGCTCCTCCCCCAGAATCAGGAGCTGATTCTTCAACAAACGCTTCCAATCCATGACAGAGAAATAGTGTGGTGCAGCTCACTCTCTACCCAGAAGTTCCGTAAATAACTGCTTCTGTGGTAGCCTCTACCAGCGAAAAGATTGCACTTCTATCTTATCAGCCTGGCAACCAAAAAACCAAAGCCAGCACTCACCAGTCCACAGCTGCCAGTCTCCATGATCTCGGCGTGTTGTTCATTTTCCGTCCTCCAGGCTCACATCCAACCGCTTGCCATCCAGTTGTAGCGGTTCGGAAGGAAGGTCGCTGATGGCATCCCACCGCTGCCACCAGTTGTTACTGGTTCAAAGGAAGGTCGCTGATGGCATCCCACCGCTGTCACCAGTTGTTGCGCGTCGCGGCGACCGCAGTCTGCGGGTAGCGGGGCCGATCGCCGTCGCTTCGTCGAGCCAAGGACTAGGGGAGAGCTTTGAGCAAACTTAACGGATTTATTTACATCTTTACAGTGAGTTGTCGAGATGACAGAAGAGAAGAACTAGTGGTTTCACAAACCACGAGTATGGTGGTTGAACTTTACATAGTTCAGAGCGACGTCCAGCACTCTGCCGCGTCGTTTTATGCCCTGTCGGGCTCCTCCTCTCCGAGTCGACCACCAATCACGCACACACAGGTGAGGGGGGGCGAGCATGCAAGGTCCACGTGAACACTGCACTGTGGTGGCGCCAGCAGGGCTCTTCCTCGTCGTGTGTGTGCCTTTAGTTGAGAGTGCGCACGATCCTGGCCGCATACTTCAAAGGGTGCGCCGATTTTGTTCGCTCAATTAGCGGGGCGATCCGCGGCAGCCGCTGGGGTCTCCCCCAGGAAGACGCCGTCCCTGTTGTCCTCTCTGTGGCGTCGCGGCGTCTTGGCGACACTACGTCTCGTCCTCCGGCAAGCAGGGACAATGCCTGGCGGGCATAGGCAGTCGGCCGGTCGGCTACTTGACGGAGGATTAAAGAAGCGCCGCTCCACCGTTAGCTCTGGTGCCGGCCACGCCAGCTTTCCTGTCGACCGATGAGTCGACGAGGCCTTCAGTCACGCTGCTGCTTGAAGGGGTGACAAGAGGGGGGCATTTGAAGGACGGGAACTCGCCTTTGCTTGCTGCTTGGTCTGGACCATGGCTCAAATCTTCAACAGCGTCTGTCAGACTGTCCTTTTGGGCCTAATCCGGCGTGGTGGATGACCCGCTGGGTCAAGGCATAGCTTGATCGCTACACAAGACAATAACTATGCACATGATTAGTTGGTTTCCCGGCATGCTTGGGCCAAAATCTGGACTCACCAACATCAACGACAATGTCCACTCTTAGGTGCAAGGGTGGACAAGCCTTGGCACAGATTGGGAGCCCAAGAGTTTTGGAACGCTCCATTAACTTTTAACGAGCTCGCATAACACTTTTACTTGGAAAGGAGAGAGTTTCCTTCCACCACACAAAAAATCTCACAAGGCCACAGGCAATTACCCTTAGTATGTTGCAGACTAATGCCTAACATAATCTCGCTTGCGCTGCCTATAGGCTCTCCAGCAACGCTTAATGGCACTGCGACTCAGGACAGGCAGTGCCTTCTCCGGCAGAAAAATGGAAACCAGGTATATCGGTCACGTGTTTCCCCTTCTCTCTGCTGCGCTGCTGCTTGCTTCCGTGCATGTGCAGAGCTCTTGCCCACTTACAGTGCCTGGCATCTGCAATGTACTGCTTGAAAAAGATCTCCCAGCTGGACAGACACTCTAGTGTAGCATTGGATGTATTCAATCAATCAATCAATCAATCAATCAATCAATCAATCAATCAATCAATCAACAAATCAATCAATATTTATTCTTTTTTATTCACAATATTGGCATCAATACACAGTATTATCTTTGATTGTTATGTGGGTAAAAAGCATTCTAAATAATCTCTCTACAATGGAGAGTATCCCAGAGGACTACAGAGTTGTGATCACAGTGTTTGACCATGACTTAGTAGCTCATATACAGAACTTACGTTTGTGAGATGGAGTGCACAGTTCATTCTGCTTATTTTTTTTCTCATGGATGGTCAGCGTGATGCGTCGCAGTAGCACCTGCTAACGACAGGGCTCATCATCGCAGGTTGACACTACACTGTCCTTTTTGGACGGCTATGTGTGCAAAGCTCTTGAGGCAGGTGCAGTGCCTTACAAGCCTCGAGTTTTCGCTGCGGTGACCTTAGAAGGTGAGCGGCACTTTTTTGTGTGCAGCATAGTATTTGGTAAGTTCTGTTATTTAATCAGTTAAATAAGCAATGTGGACTTTCTTAGCTTCAAAGTACCTATGTGTGCCCTAAGTTTCAGTGCATGGAAGCATTACTCAAGGCGAGCAAGTTGTTCAACTTTTTCAGTAGCTGTTTAAAGTGTGAAGCCAGAGATTTGTAACGTAGGTGAATACTAAAAATTGCTAGTAGCATAGGCGGTCGAACACACTCACGAGTTGACTAACTCGGACTCGTTCAGACTCAGATCGAGCCGTGAGTCCGAGTGAGTCTGGCTGAGTAATATTTTGAATATTTTGGTGAGTTTGAGTCTGAGTGAGTTCGACCGAAAAAAATTTTAGTGGGTGCGAGTATGAGCGAGTCCGTCTCGGGAAAATCTTGGTGAGTCGGAGTCCGAGTGAGTTCAAAGCGCAAGATATATTTCTTGAGTGAGTCTTAGTGAGTTCCACTCATGTTTGTCAAGCTATGGCTTGTAGAGAGAAGTTCATATGGCGGTCGCTTGGTTGTTGTGATGTTCAGGATTGAAATTCATCCTCCTGCAACAAAGTTGAAAAAAAAAGAGAGAGAGAAAAAGCTGAAACACAGGGGTGATAAGTGAGCATTGTGAAATTTTCATTTTCTTTTTGTACTAGTCTCAACCGACCACCAGTGCTTTTTACTTGCATGTTGATGTAAGCCTGTGCTTTGCTTTTCAGATGTGAGGGCGGCAGCTACCGCTGGGTCCACTTTGGATGTTAGTGGCTGTTCAGTATCAGACATGGATATTTTGTCTCCAGATTGCCTTTCATTCACATCTGATGTGCCTATGGCTGAGAGGTAAAAGAAGGTCGTTCTTGTTTCTCCAAAACCAATATATTAGTGTAATTTTGAGGATCAGTAGCTATGGCATAATTCGATTGCAGAAAAACAATGAATCTATACATTCACAATGTCTTTTTCTCTAGCAACATTCTTGGCTTGCTAAAACTGAGTTATGCTCTCAAGAACTGCAGTGCATCTGTCTTGTGTTTAGAAGTTAGAAAAAGAATCATGCTCTTGAAGCCTATAATAACTTCAGCAGGCAATTTTTTGTGTGGATTACACTGTGTTAAGCATATTGTCCAACCTTGTAACAAAACTTGCTTTGGAAACATTTTTCATGGCACTACATAATTAATATTTTACACTGATTTGACGCTCCATTGAAGGGCCCCTTACCAGACCACATAGCAAATTTTAGTTTTGCACTGGAAGTTCTAACGTGTCCAACAGAAAGCATTCTACCGCAAGAATTTTCAAAAGTGGTTCATTACAGGCAGGGATGAAAAATATTTGAAAGCAGCAAGCTTCGCACCCTTGCCACATGCACTGTCTAGCGTTTGCACGCCAAGCTTCCCCCACAGCGTTCTCTCGTGTGGAAGCCAGGGGGTCACACGATGCACTGGCATCATAACATCACGGGCACGTCTCGATGCATGGGCAAGATGCGCCCTCCTCCTTTTTCTGTTGTTTATGCTGCTCCCTGCTCGCTGCATGGAACAGCAAGTGAGGAGGACATAAAGGTTTTACGGTGCAGCACCTTTACATACATAATGCCACCTTTACCTACTTCATTGCCTGATCGTGGAGCCCAGCACCATTGAGGAGAAGAGTAAAGGGTGTTAAGCTCAAAACTTTATCTTTTTCCGTTGCACATAGCGATGCAACTCTTGACATGATCATGAGTGTAAACATTGCACTTTGCTCAAAATCAGCAGACCTGATGAGGGGCCCTTCAAGCAGACTTGTAGGAGGCTGAAATGAAAGAAATTGTGCCATCTTTCGCACGGAACGATTTGAAACGAGTCTCCTGCCATGAAGTAACTGTACTAACAAAAATGTGTAAGCAGGTTGCTTTCAGCTACATTAAATAATTACTCTAAAAAAATGCCTTCTAACCACATGACTATGCTATCGTTCCATACATTTAGACCGGATGCTAATATCTAGTTAGCCTGTCAGCCTTCCTCCTCATCTCTCTCTCTCTCTCTATACATTTAGCTCTGCAAATACAAGCCCATGGTCAGCAACGGGCCGGAGAAAAAGTGAGAGCATAGAGCAGAAATATGCCACACTTGAAAGCAGAAGCGTTGATGTAAGTAACTTTTCAGTGAACCTTACATACATTCCACCGGCACTGACAGCATTGACATATTTTTAGTAGCATCGAATTGTGGCAGTGAAATTGGTGCCATTTAGCACCAGTTGATGTAGGAATCAGAAAAAAAAAGGTTCACATATACCAGTTGCCATAATGCATGGGTCCTTCTTATTTCCTTGACGCTGTTGTCTGTCTTGTATACACAATGCTTACAGCATGTAGTGAATGTGCACTCAAAAAAAGCAGTTTTTTCGTGTTCTGTTGATTAAACTGTTATTGAAAAGATAGTGAGGCCACAAGAGATTTGATCAATCCATTACACCCGACGAAAAAAGGGCACCTTTTGCGAAGACACAGGAAGTAAACAGGAAGTCACGCTTTTTTCATCATGGACCTTTACCAACATGCCCATTTTGTAGTTATCCTAAATGACAACTCATTAATTTTTTCTTCTATTGACAGTATGATGCGGTGTGCTTCACAACAAATGTGCTATTTGAAATTTTTCTGCGGGAAATTATGTGAACCTTCAAGGAGCATTTTCTCCATTGCCGTCAGGTTTCATGTGAAGCCCAAGGGTGGTAACATCACTGTTCACATATGTTCTATGTGCTAGAGAAAGCGTGTGAAGGCAGCCAGCCATTGTTGCTCAAGCAGCAAGGAAACACACTTGCTGTTTTCCATCATGCAAATGATCCACGGTTGTTCTTGGAGAGGAGCTGCCTTGCTCTCGCAGGAGCTACATACTTTGAGCAGCGGGGTACAGTTGTGTGTGCCCTGTCTTGACAAGTATCAGTAGATAGCTATTCCTTCGTATAGTCTGTGACCCACAGCATATGCGAAACTCAGTTAGCGTTGAAGTGATTGACAGCATTATGTAAGGTCACGTCACTTGCAGCAGTGATTCCCAGGTTTCCCGATTCTCAAGTTTCCTTACGCCAGCGTTGCACCAGGTCAGAGGCTAAAGGAATCAGCTGCTAGCCTTACTTCGTATAACACTGCATTTTGTGGCTGTTGAATTCATTGCTTGAACCTTGCAGTGAAACTGCAACATTTTTGAAAACAGCACATTCACTACCCCATTGGCATCACACTATGATATGAATGTGTAGTTAACATAGTGGGCTCTGGGGTGGCGGTCAGCTGGAGCCCTTGAAGAGGGCATGCAAGGCAGCAAACAATACAGACATCTTTATTGCTGCAAGGTTCGGGTCAGACAGGTATGTGTCTCGCAGCTTCTTCGAGCCACGCGCTGCAGGCTGCTCACTCCCTGTTTTTTTAGCAGGGCCTTGCAACACTCCCTACAACATACAAACATATTCCACTGATAAATTATTTGTATATAGGGTGTTCTATTGAAAAGCACAAAATACTGTTTACTCTTACTGTGACCAAGGTATTCTAGTGAGGGGTGAATCCACAGATAGACATAAATGGCTCTAATACAAGGGCAATTACCACGACGTTGGAAAGCCTTCTCTTGTCAGCCTTATTCTAAAGTTCCTTCACAAGTGATTGTCACCTGTGCATTGCTCTGAGATGTCAAACACCCTTGGTTGCCTCCATGGTATTGTCAGATTAGTCCGGGATTGTTGCTTAATGCAGCGGAGTTATGTGCTGATCATATGCTGTGGGGAATGTGCACTCCGCTATCAATACCGCTATTGGTTGCTGTGCTTGTCATTGAAAACTTAAGGGGGCCCTGCAACATTTCTTGAGCATGCTAAGAGCACTCTGCCGAGCGGTAGTCGAGGCTCACGAGAACACGCGAGTGAAATGTTATAGCGCATCATGCAGCCTGAAATTTTCAATTCTCAAAGTCGACTAAACATCGGTCCCTCTTCCCTGTACGAACGATGCCGTGTACGCAAGTTTCTGCACCATAGTATACCTAAAGTCACCACCGTTGGCCGATTTGCACGTCGTAAGCTGCACAGTTTCTGTGCCCACGTGGGTGTTTGCCATAACACTGAACGGGCTTGGGGAAAAAAAAAGAAAAGCGATGGCTCAAGGTTACAGCAATGGCTGGCAAAGAGGCGCTTATTCTTGCCTCCTTTTCATACACCCCTCTGTGTGCAGTTTTCAGTTTGTTCGCTGGTATGAGAGAATAGAGAAAGCACTTGAAGTGTGCAAAAAATTCTTGTAACTCTACTAGTACTTGGTGGATTCTAAACATTTTTCCGGCCTGTGGTTCATAAAGCGTCATGTACTAATAGTGAAGGTATTTCATCATGATTCAGAAAGGTGTTGCATGGCTTCTTTAATGAAAGAGCCATTGTTGCTGGTGCAGTCAAATCTGAGAAGAATGGAAAGAGATGCTTGAGTTATGTTGTGGATGCGGGCCCAGCTTATTATCTAGCATCAATAAGCATTACATATTCGTGTTGGACGTGTGTGAAGGCTACAAATGAGAGTATACTTCCGAAATGTCGCACTTGGCTAGTGTGATGCATCGTGCACCAAAGCATAGAGCTTGTGAAATACCAACTGGCTCAATAATATTTCACTGTCGTAAGATATGAAGTATTGATTTGCCAAGATATTGAGTGCAAATAGCAGCACTGAAACTTGCCCGAGGCTCATGAAATTTGGTTGGTATTGATTATTTTGCCTCTACCGATAAAATTGAAAGTATTGAAAACTTACGTTCTACAGGCTACGTTTGCAATTGTTGCTAGCTTTTCGAACCCTTTCTGTACAGTCAGAAATGAATGTATGGCACCAAGGTACTATATATGTAATTCTTGTTTTCATTGAGCTGCTGTGACATTCACATGGAAATTTCTTGGTGTTGCTATGGGAAGCACCAGAATTTATGTTTTGAAGTTAACTCAACAATCTTGATTGTCATTATCATTTCAAGAGAAAGTGGACCCGTTGTAATGACTTTACGTAAGCACGTATGACGTGTTCTAAAATTTATTGCGTTGCTGCAGGTAGATCTTAGTGTTTCAATACTTTGCACAATATTTAGCGGGATGAGAACGCTCATTTCTCCTTCTGTTTTATTTGCCAGTGAGTAACTTGAATGATACGTAGCCTTCTTGTACATTAGGTTGTGATGGGAACATCAGCATGTGATCCTCTTGCGTAACGTTTTTTTCAGTCTTCCAAACAGGAGGATGTGGAACTAATGAAGGCACTTTTCTCACCTGTATCTAGTGCAAAAGCAGTAAAAGTAAGTATTTGCTTTGCTTATGTAAAGTTCCACAATTTGGTATCCATTATTATTCACATTAATCATGCATTTTCACTTTGCAAGGTCATCTAGAATATCATATATATACTTGTAATATCTAAACTGCATTTTTATGCTTATATTCTGCTTTTTGATGCCCCCTTGATTGATTGAATTTTCTCTGGGAGAGTGCATGCATTTTGTCTAATGCCAGACTGCATAATTTAGTGAATGCTTATCATAGCAGTGTATCAAATTGAGCAGTTTTGAAGATACTCACAGATCTTATTTTTCTATGATGTCCTCCATCAAATCACTCTGAAAGTGAATTCATTGCTATGATGTGAATGGCTCGTATACAGAAAATGGCTACGTAGCTTCATTTGCACTTGCTTCCGTATAGTCGCCTGACAGCTCCAGTGTTAGTAATGCATGATATGTTCCAGTTGTTGGGAGTTACCTACTTACAACCACATTTAAAATTTGTTTTTCTTTTTGTCATATAAGAAGGCCACATTGTTCTCTGTCGTGCTTTTGAAAATTCGGAATGGCTCACTAGTGGAATTGCTATACATCTTATAGAATAATCCTTAATTATTTTCTCTAATAATGTGTTAACTTGTGGGAGCCAAGCGATTTAAGTGCATTCCCTTAAGACAAATTATTGCTGCAAGAAGTTCTGGTTCCTATTGGTTTAAAACGCGGTCGCTTAGATTTGCACAGCACGCGTGCAACAATACACTTAGTGAAACGACAGTGTCATTACCTGGCCATTAGAGTATGAGTAATTTACAGATGACCACGCAAGAATTGACAAAACGTAGAAGAGATGCTTGAGCTGAAACTAAAAAAAGTAATAATCAAAGTTTACAACTGAGCCTGGTTATGGGCTCTTTAATAAGAAGTGCAGAATGATGACTGAGGGGCACACTTTTGCAAAAGAAGCTTTTATGAAGGTTTTATCACTTCAATTTTTCTGTTTGATAGTATTCTGAGTGAAATGCTTAACATTTTCACTTGCTTAAAGATGTAACAACTTTGTTTCTTGTACAGCTATTGCTAATGTTAATTGATAATATTCATTTCATTTTTTCAGGCTGATTTAGTAATTTCTCCAGACTCTGAAAATGTTGAAGTGGCATCATCCTCGCCTCTGCAACAACATAAGGCAACTGTGTCTAAAAGTGCGGAGCTCTGGGGAATTGAGCTGAAACGGCACAGCTGATGCACAACAAAAAACTGTGTAAAAATCTGCTGTGACCCTGTAATATAGCATAATGCCTCAAATTGTATGTGGATCGTGTTTTATAAATGGTACTGTGCTGCATTTATTAAGATATTTTAATCGAGAAAGTCTGAAAAACCACACAGGAGTGAAAAGTTGTTCACAGATTCAATTAGGAAATTATGTTCTTTTAGAAATATTACTTGTTTAAACAGAAATTAAAATTACGCTAGGCAGTGAGTATTTATTATGGCTGTAGCGCAAGAAACATAGACGGAAGAAAGGAGACCCTCTTTTTCACATGCCTCGCCGTGGTGGTCTAGTGGCTAAGGTACTCGGCTGCTGGCCCGCATCAAATCCCGGCTGTAGCGGCTGCATTTTCGATGGAGGCGGAAATGTTGTAGGCCCGTGCGCTGAGATTTGGGTGCACGTTAAAGAACCCCAGGTGGTCAAAATTTTTGGAGACCTTCATCACGGCGTCTCTCATAATCATATGGTGGTTTTGGGACGTTAAACGCCACATATCATCATAATCATCTCTTTTTCATCTACGTTTCTTGCGCTGCACCCACAACGAATTACTTGCTAGCACTAAATCGTGTTGATGTAATCTTGTGCAAAATGTAACTAGAATGACAATGAGTAGAATTGAAGCTTTAAACTAATGTAACTTACCGTATTTACTCGATTCTACCGCGCCCTCGATTGTAACGCGCACCCGATTTCCACCGCCAAAAAAAAAAAAAAAAAACGTAAGACATCGATTGCAACGCGCACCCATTTTTCTCGCTGGCCCGTACGATCACACCACTCGAAAAAATGACTCCTTTCAGGAGCGTCTTCTATTTAAATATGAGGTACAGGTGAAGCTTGTGCCCATCTGACGTGTAACAGAGCATTGCCGTCACTCTAGTTTTACCGTGGACTGATGTCAGCACGCGAACTTGCTTCGCCCCCTTCTTCTCGACGGTTGTGGTGCCAGGCATGTCGAAGTAAAGAGGCATCTGATCGGCATTCCCGATTTGCCCAAGCAGGTAGCCGTTGTTGCGCCGCAAGTTTAGGATGAACCTCTGAAAACTGTGAAGCTTTTCATCGTACTCCTCCGCAAAACTTTTCGCATATGCATGTTCCCCTTCAGAGGGAAAAGCCTTTCCTCTTCATAAAGTTAGTTAGCCAGCACCTGCTCGCTTTAAACTGGCTCCGCATTAGACCGTTTTCTAAGACTAATTGCATAGCCCGCACTTGGAGCAGTTCTGTCGTCACGGGCCGCTGTGCCACTCGCTGCTCAAGCACATACTCGCCGAGCAGCTCTTTAATTTGCGGAAACCGACCCTGCTGTGTGGTCCACTGAAGCCTTTGCGTGAAGCTTTGCTGTCGACAATCTTCTGCTTTTGTTTGCGCCGGTCCCGCACGCACGTTTCGGGAACTCCGAACGACCGCGATGCGGCCCGATTTCCGTCCGTTTCTGCACACGCGATGACTTTTCTTTTAAAAACGGCATCGTGGTGCACCCAAGTTTTTGGAGTCGGCCCTTCCACACCGTCGATGCTAATGCACTACTAGATGACGAACTCCTCAGCACACGTACGAAGTGCCGCACATGAGAAACACATAGGCAGAAATGGCCGACGCGCCATGCCGACACACGTAGGGGGCGGCCATTTTGGATTTGCCAATGGCAATAGATTGACCGTAATTTTTTTGTTCGTACTCGATTCTAACGCGCATGCGATTTATAAACTCGCCTAACCGGAAAAAAGGTGCGCGTTAGATTCGAGTAATTACGGTAATATACATATGACAGGGTACTCCAGATAGTACAAAGATGCAGGAGAATGCAAGAATGACAATCACATTACGATAATAGAAAAGGAAGCACTGTGTAACTTTTAAACATGATGAGAAATTATCAGTACCTCTCCTGGTTGATGAATATTGCAAAAAAAAAGAAGGGCAGCCTAAAGCCCCGTGAAAAGCAGTGGCTGAAATTTCTCTGCTGTTTATTTCACTAACGAAATAACCTGAGAACAGAGAAAAGAGAACATAACTAGCATATGACTCTGTGTCAGAACGATGATCTTGGAAAGAGCAGCAACCAAGCCTCTGAGAAAAAAAATTGCATAACTGTGCAAATTCTTATACAAGACATCGTATACTTGGGGAGATATGTTGGATAAGTACATAAATTCCTACAAGTGTGCCTGGTAGCTCAGTGCAGTCTTAACATTGTCTGATGAACAACTCACTGGACACTGCCAAAAAACATGCAACCGTCTCTTAGATTTACTGTTTATGCCCTCACATTGTTACGTGATCATGTCATTGACTATGGCAGCAGCCGACGTGTTGTAGACTAAACATTCAATTTTTTATTTGGAGAAGCTTGTGCCTGGAAAATAGAAATGCAAGGTGCAAGCGATCTACTCTGTAGATTGATAGTGACGTGAACAGTCGCCGCCCGCTGGGTAATCTGATCTATGGTGGGATGTATGGTGATGACCTTTTCCAGCCTCATCACTGTTGCTTGCATAAGCTATCCAGTAAGCTTGATTATTTGCGTCCTGTGTGTAATCTTAGCTGAATGATCTTGAACAATCACGAAGCTTCTCAAGCGTGAGAACTCAGTCTTTGTTCAGTATTACAGTAAAAGCTCGTTAATTTGAATTCCACGGGAATGCTGAGCAATTTCGAATTAAACAAAATTCGAAATAATGAAAGTGAGCAAAAATGGGTGGATTTCGGGGGTGGGGGCACGGAAAAATATTTATTGGCCAAAAAAGTCGGTGATGACCATCTGCTTCTCTTCTCTGAATGCCACAGCTGCGGCTCCCTGTTCCAGCGCGTGGACGCGGCGCAGGGAATCCTCTTCACCCTCTTCAAAGCTGAAGAAGAGACGCGCCACATTAAGTGCCTCCATCACCGCAGAAGCTGACGGGCGCACAGGCGCTTCGTCATTTTCGTCTTCCTCACCTTCTGGCTCTTCTGCATCAGGCTGCGCACCGGCTACTTGAGCGATAATGTCCTCATCAGTCAGGGCACCACACACCGATGCACTGGTGTCAACTTCAACATAATCGGCGAAACGTACGCCCCGAAGAGTGTCGCGCAATGCCACTGGCATGAGCTCCTCAGCCCCATCCACGTCGACGTCACAACTATCCTGCACACTTCCAGCTGCAAATCCACTGTGGCGGAAACAGTTTGCGATTGTGGTCGCGGTCACCTGTTCCCATGCGCGCACCAACATGTGCATGGCAGTGAGCAGCGTAATGCCGAACTCCTTCCTGTCGCCCGCGCACAAAATCATTCGTGAACGAATAACGTGCTCGAGGAACAAAGTGACACTGCCGGGAGCGGCCTAGGACTGCTAGGACTACTCCGCCGACTCCTCAGCGTCCCGTGGGTCCCGCGTACAAGCGGCGCCAGGCGCTGAGATAGCGGGAGGGCTACGAAAAAAAAAAAAAAAAAATTGCTCCCTGAATTTCGGAGGCCATACTTTGCTCGCCCTTTGCTCGGAGGCCACTTGAAGCTCGAAAAAACTGGTCGTGCCATCTGTCGTTCGACCGTAAAAGCTTCCACTAGTGTTTGACGGTGATGATGCTCGGCGACACGCGCTTTGAATTATCCGTAGAGGCAGCAATTTCTGTTCGAATTAACGAATCGTTTTACACATGGTCTCCTATGCACTGCGGATCGGAGTGCGGCGACCATTTCGAATTATCCAAAATTTTGAATTAATGAGGTGTGAATTAACGAGCTTTCACTGTATTAACAGTCCTTGCGTGTGTAACCATAGAACATCAAAATAAAGCGCTAAACATGCGTACCAATATACTGTAGTCCTAGCTTACCTTGATAAGTGCCCTGCTGATTCCCATGACACTTCTGATTATTGTTTAATGATTCTACAGTAGCATTTCATTATATGCTGCTATTTTAATTTGGCCATTATTGATGAATAGAAAGAAGCAAGAGTATGTACATAAAGCTTTATTTTAACTGATGATGAAGCGACGCAGAAAAGAATGCTCTAAGAAATGTTCGGGGATGTAATCATGGTCAGATGAACAATGCTCGAATCGATTCGACTATCACTGCTTTGTGTATGGGATAAATTTTCTGAGCACTTTTCAACAGGAATATCCAGCATAGGAGTTTGAGAAAAAATACAGCTGAGCCAATGGTAAGCTTTACCACTGTTGCTGCACACTCATTTGGCAGCTTAGCTTGGGTAGCGCCTTATCAATGCAAAAGTTGTACTCCAACCTCCACACAATCATAAAAAGAGAGCATAGAGAATGCACAGATAAGATAAATTGGTCTACACGTGAATACACTAGTCGCACGGACGTGCGTGGAAATTCACGTGTTCAGAGACCCTCATACAAACATAGATGCAATGCATTTCACTACAATCAAACGAAGCAACAGCAACACATCCGCGTTTTTTGCCCTTTTGAACAGGAAATAGTAAAATGGCTCAGGATGACGTGATTTCCTTAAAAAAAGATGGAATCAAAAGTCACGCTGCCTTTTTGGTCCGTTCTGGTTTGTCTATATTTGAAGGCATTGTTTGAAAGAAGCTAGCTATAAATGGTAACAAAGAACATTTTGCTTAATCAGGTTTTATATCTGGTTCATCTTTACTGCCCTGATATGAAAATACTTGGTGCACGATGCAGCAGCTGAGCATTAACTTGCTTGTGTTGCTTCTGGTTGAAAATTTTTGAAGCACCCCTCATGCGAAAGGCAATGAGAAACTTTGGCATTTAGAGGCGACAATTTCTGGTTTACATTGCTGAAATGCCCCTCTATTTACACTGGTATAACATGATACCACTAACCCTATTATAGTAGGAACTAGAATAAGTTGGTCACGTATTCAACCATTGCGTACTTACTTCAATCCAACCCAACAGACACTTTAGTGCTGCTTTATAAACTTATATTGCTTATATCACAAAGTATTGCTTCATCTTGGAGCCTCATTATAGTGTGTCACCGTGTACTTAGCAATATTGTTTAATTTAAACTACGACAGGTAAATCTG